TCCTCTAAACTCAGTCATCTGGAAACGACTGTGGCATCACCGAGATGTCGCCTGTCCTCACATCGTTCTTGAGCAGAAGGACGTGCACGGCACCCTGAAGTGAGAAGCATGATGATGCAGGATGAGACGCCCCTAGGCCTGGGCTGCCTCGCCTGTCTGCCGGCCGGCGGTGCTGTGGGGGTGATGTGAGCAGCTTAGCAAGTCCCCCATGTGCAAACAGAGTTCCTGCCTCCAGGCTGAGGCGGTGTCTGAAATTATGGCCTTGGAGACCGTGCCAGTCTGTGCAGGCTACAGTAACAACGTACCACAGACGGAAAGACTTAAGCGACAACAGAGACTTATTTTCTCACAGTTCTGGGGACTAGACATCCAAGATCAAGGTGTGGGCAGGTTTGGCTCTGGGTGTCTCTCTTTGGCACACACACATCCCTGGCGTCTCCGTGCTCAAGTACCCTCTTCTTACAAGGACACCGTCCGATTGAATTGGGGCCCATCCTAACAGCCTCATTTCAACTTAATCCCATTGTTAAAGGCCCCATCTCAAACGTGAGGGGCAGGAATAGAATAGTGGGGATAGCTGTAGTTTAAGAAATATTAACCCTGCTCTGTTAACCATGATTGTTCTGTTCTGATTCGAGAAAGCACATTCTGACCTTAGCTGAGAGTTGTACGCCCTGGATATGGGAGTCAATCTCGAAATGCAGTCCCTTCTCCTTTTCTGAGAACTGCCTATCACCATGAAAAGATGAACATGCACAGTCTAGTTCTGGAGGCGCCCGCCCTCTGCGACCCCAGGCCTGCGTTGCCTGTCACCTGTACCATGACACCTGCCTGCTTCCTCAGGCCTGTAATTCCTACCACTTCCCCATGTAACCTTTATCCTTCTACCCGACATAAGCAGCTGGCTTATTGGGGTGGGGGTGGGGCTAAAGCGGATTTTCATGGATCACCTGCTGACCCCTCATACTGTCGACATTTTGGGAATAAGCGCTCATACATGATTCAACCCTGTCTCTGCTTAATTGGCTCAGGTAGTGACAGCCCCCAGACCCATTGGTTGTCCAGTTTCACAAACACAGTCATTTTGAAGCACCGAGGGTTAGAGCTTCCACGTATGATTTTGCGTGTGAGCGTACGGGGAGACGATTCAACCGTAACAGACAGTCCTTGGTTTTAGGATGTACCAGTCCTTTGGGGTTCTCTGAATAAGGGCAGTAACTATTGGATACGTAAATGGACTTGTTGTCCATGAAAGCAAGGGACAGGATATAATTAATTTTAAAATGAATGGGTGCAATAAGTTATATGTAAATTAACTCTCTAATTCAGTGAAGGGCTGCAGAGGAGGCGTGGGGCCCACATCCCCAGGTTCTTCCTCTCAGCTGTCCCACTCGAACTCCATCCTTACAGACAGAAAACAAGAAGCACGAACCCAGAGATGTAAAGAGAGCTATAGACCCCTCACTCTCCCTGGGTATCTGCCTTAAGCCCGGGTGCTAATAGGCCGTTTTCACTGAAGAAAAACCCTGGGACTCCAGCAGAGTGAGAAGAAAGGTCAGAGACCTACATACGACGATCCAGAACCTGAGAGCCAGCCCTCAGTTTGTACCTTTTTTTAAACCTTCTCCTTGGAAAAGGATGGCGGGGAGCTGTGTTTGTCTCTGCCGCTCTAATGAGTAAAGTGAGAGAGTTTCCCCTGAGAATTCCTGATGGTAAGCCCACATTCCTGTGGGATTAGTGCAGTGATGGTGAACCTTTTAAGCTCGGCGTGTCAGCATTTTGAAAAACCCTAACTTAACTCTGGTGCCGTGTCACATATAGAAATTTTTTGATATTTGCAACCATAGTAAAATAAAGACTTATATTTTTGATATTTATTTTATATATTTAAATGCCATGTAATAAAGAAAAATCAACCAAAAAAATGAGTTCGCGTGTCACCTCTGACACGCGTGTCTTGGTTCACCATCACTGGATTAGAACCTAAACTTGTACTATCGGTGTAGCCAGGAAGACCTCCAGGCAAAATTTTAGAATGTTTCCAAGTCAGCTATTCCCACGGTCCATGGCATAAGCAAACACTAACTCTATCCAGAGAAATACATTTTAAACCCAGACTTCAAAGAATTTCCACAGATAAAATCCCAAGGAACATGAGTTCCACAAACCACAAAAGCAGAAGCAATGAATCCCAGCATCAGACCCACAAATGGTATAAATATTGGAATTATAAGGTACAGGATATAAAATAAACACATTACATTTTAGTTTTTTATTTTAATGTTTTATTTTATTAATCTTCACCTGAGGATATTTTTCCATTGATTTTAGAGAGAGTGGAGGAAAAGGAGGGAGG